GCAACAAACCTCTGGAGTTCCCCATCCAGCACTGCCCAGAGAGAGGAACTGAACCAGATGTGATGGGGCTCTGACATGCAGCGCCCACTCCAGACTGGCCCAAAGGGTTACATTTTTCTCCTCTGATTTCCAGGCAACGGGAAGTTACTGATATATTCAGCAAACAGAAAGCTTTGCTATCCAGCCCTTACCTGCTCAGCAGCCCCATGCAGAAAAGGTTTTGTTTAACCCCTTGTCATAAGCAGAGCAGAGCCACCCAACACCTCAAGCTGTGCCAGAGGAGAGGTGTCCTGAGTTACTCTGACCTTGCCACAGGAAACTGCAGCACAGAGGAACTGCCTGAGCTGCCTGTGGTGCAGCATGGCTGTGTCCTAGCAGCTGGGTCTTCCACGTGGCATGAGTGGAGGTGCTCAGTCAGAGAGAAAACATGAGAAATATGGATGTATCTCTGTCAGGAGAGAAAGAGAGGTACAATGGAAAAAAAGGAAAATGACAGAAGTGCTAAGCAAAGTGAAATCCTAGCTCTGCTAAATGTCAGTGACCAAGGTCCTGCTGTCTTCAGTAGGATGAAGATTTCACCCAGGGGTTAAGAGGTGCAGCTCAAAACTCCCAGGATGATTCAGAGCAGGCAGAAACAGAGAGGTCTGCTCAGGGCTGCAGTAACTCAGCCAGCAGCTGCCAGCTGGGAGCATTTGGCCATGGGCATGACAGGTGCCCTAATCTCCTGTCATCATGTACTTTGTATCTTTGATTATTTAGACATCCATAGACTGACATGTAAAGAAAAATGTATGTTCAATAGGACACTTGACATCAGAAGCTTCTTATATGGGAAGGCTTTTATACAGAGAGAACATCCCTATCAGACACTATGAGCTCCATGGAATTTGAGATTTTAGGGCCTGAAGGGAACATTACAACCTTCTAGCCTGAACTTTGAGATAAAATAGGCTACAAAACCAAATAATTTCTGCATCAGGCCAATATCTTCTGGATGAGTTATAGATCATCTCTTACAAACTTCCAGCCCTGGTCTGAAGACTTTTTGTGATGGACAGAATTTAAAACATCTGTAGGCAGATTGCTCTGGTCAGCTTTCATGTCTCAGCAGTTTTGATTAATACAGAAAGAGTCTCTTCTTCTAATATTAGCATTATCATGTCTTATATCCATCTACAGTGCAACATATGGTGCAAGGATAATGTAAAAATGTCCAGCGACTGTGACTTCAGTGGATCACCAGTGCTCCTCAAAGTTTAAGAACTTATCTAAAATAAAAACATACTAAGAGAGACTTTTATTCATAGTATTTTTATATATTTAAGTTTTGAAAGGAGACAGGCAGGAGCTGCATGCCCTTGCACTGCAGAGGAGACCAAGATAACTGATGCAGTGCTGGAAGAACCCAAAAGCCATTGGAGAGGGGATGGAAGAGCCCAAGGAGATCTGACCTATCTGTTTGAATCATCAGAGAATCACAGAATATTTTGGGTCGAAAAAGACCTTAAAGATCATGTAGTTCTTACCCCCCTGCCATGAGTAGGGATGTCACCCACTTGACCAGGTTGCTTCAAGCCCCATCCAGCCTGGCCTTGGACACTTCCAAGGATGGGGCATCCACAACTTTTCTGAGCAACCTGTTCAGTGTCTTATTACCCCCTGAGTAAAGAATTTCTTCCTAACATCTAATCTAAATGTCCCCTCATTCCATTTAAAACCATCCCCCCCTTGTCCTCTCCCTGTCTACCTGTGTAAAAAGTTGCCCTCCATCATTTTAAGGCATTTTTATCCACTGAGGTCTAGACAAGGACATTTTTGAACCCAGTGCTGACAGAGGCAGCAAAGAGCACACTTCTGTAATAGAAATGGAGAAGTGACACTTCTTTAGAGACTAAGGGGTTAACAACAAACAATACTTCTAGTGAGATTCAAGTTTTCCCGGACACAGGAGAAGGCTGAAGTAAAGCTAAGACTGAAGAAAGAACCAAGTCAGCCCAGTGTGCCTGGATGAAGGATAGATTTGCAAACAAATGGGAGAAGTGGAAAAGTTCAGCCCCAAGGATAAGACGGATGAACTACGGAAAAGGAAAAAGGATGAGCTGGATCAGAAAAATGTGAGAGAATTCAAGGTTTCTAATGTTTCTCTCCCCGGGAAACCATCTGAGTCATGTAGCTGAGGCAAGTTTACGTAAAGACAGATTTTTTTCTGGTGAAGACAGGGTAAAAATATTGTCAGAAATTAGTTAGATAGGTATTAAGTAATACAAATAAGTACTGATATATAAGAAACTTCAGTATATATCAGAAAGCCCCTATGTCTATACCTTTACATCCTGACAGTGGTCAGAGCATTAACTTGGTATGAACTATTTCTAATCACCCATCAAGGAGGCTAAAAATGATAAAGGTGACACATGCTGTAGAGTGGACCTCAGGCTGTTAAACTCTGATGGGCTTGACAAACTGGGCTCTGTGTTTAGCTTGAGCTAGAACACCCAAATAACCCACACCCCTCTACCTGTCCTTGGGCAGGGATGAAGGAAAAAGAGAGAAATTGTGGTGCACAGAGAGCTGTCAGAACACAGGCTCAAGTTGAGAAGCAGCCCCTGTGCTTATCCACACCCTCTGTGAGCTCTGGGCAGTTCTTCAGGCAGAACAACAGTGTGCACCTCCTCACACTGATGCTGGCACCACACAGAGGTATTACAACATTTCAGAGTGCTTTATAACTGGTGGATTTAGTTCTAGAGCAGACTGCAGCTTGGGGCACATAACCCACACAATGTCATTCTGCCTCAGAGATGTATGGGGAGGAACTGTTTCTGGAGAAATTTGGATCAGTTTACAGAGAACTTGAGAATAAGAGAAATCATAATAAAGTTCTGAATAATTTATTGGCAAGATGATAGCTTGAATTTTTATCCTAACAGACCCAGGCATGCTGAGGTACAGCTTGTGTAACTCCACATGAATGCTGGGGAAGGAAATTGCACACCATACCTGGGGAGCCCCAATGGGGTGGGACAGAGGTCAAACCAAGAACTGGCTAATGCAGACAAAGCACAACCAAAGTTTGAGGTGGTAGGATTGTCTGATATGTCCCTGACAAGGTGTACAGTGCAACCTCCCCACCCTCTAGGAGAGAGGCTGGCTGCTCCAGGTCAGCTCACTGACACAGGCAGCTGCTAGGAAAGCCCTGCTAGGGGCTGCTGGGAAAGCCCTGGAGGGACCCTCAGCAGGGGCTCCTCCCTCCTCTGCTTGGCAGCTGCTTTTAAACTGAGGGTCTCCTTTCTGGCTCCTGCCTGAGCTACAGGCCTGGACCAGGCCATAGACCTACTGATCCAGACCCCCACTCAGGGACTTGACTTCATGGCCAGAATTTGGAGCTGCCTCATCCCCATGAACATGTCTGGTGATCTGGACTGAAGGCTGAGTCTGGCTACAGCCCACAGCTGCTCTGCTTGCCTTGTGCAGGTACAGTGAGATGGGGCCAGGGCTGGGGGAAACCTGCACCAATGACTCTTAATGCACTTGGCTCCCAGCTTCCTGTCCTTTAGAAAGCAGCTGGCCACCCCAGTGCTCTGGCAGTCTTCACTCACTTCTTCTGAACCATTTCCATCTCTGTGGAGATATGGATTTCTTTAAAATAATGGCTGAGAACAAGACTACCTTGCTGCTCTAACATGAGACAGTCTCAGCAATCCTGCCATCAATGTGGAGGTGCCCTTGGTTTGCTCAGGGAAGGCATGATTTTCAGCATCTGCAGCAGCCCCAATTCTTTGGCTGGCCAAGACTCTAAACCAGGATTTCTAAAGTATGCAGGACATGGCCTTTGGGCAGTCCAAAACACTTGTGGCCATCCTGGATGGATAACACAAATTTCAGAGAGAGTCCCTGCCCTTGTTTCACATGCACCTGGCCCTGGACAGCCTTCTCCAGAGACCAGGAGGACAGGTTTCCCCTGGGGACAGGTTCCCCCTCATGGGAAGGCTGGAGCCATTTATCCTGATGAACTGCCCCAGAGGCCTGCAAAACAGAGAAGGGGAGCAATAGGGAGCTGCTTCTCCTCGAAGCTGAGGCAGAGGATGGATTTTCCATGCTGACCTGGAGCTACAGTCCCAGTCCCAATGTGGTATCCCGTTGATTGCCTGGCCCATGAGCAGGCTGCAGGAGCCCTGTGTGCTGCTGACAGCTATCGCAGGACATGTGCTGGGGCAGCTCCCCTTGCCTCGGGATGAGCAGAACAGCGGAAGCCTTGTGGTTTCTCTTAGTTTAGTGTCTTTGGCTGGGGTAATGCTGGCAGGGATGAGGTGTGTGGTGTCTTGCCCACAGATGGAAAAAGGCAAGTTAACAAGAAACTGTGTGGTTCAGAAACCCTGCTCATGGGCATGGGAGTCTAGAGAGTCCAAGCAACTGTTTCACTTCCTCTGATGGCATGGAGCCGAACGCTTCTCCAACGTCAAATCTTCCAGCTCAGTCTTTTCAAGGAACGTTGCTCAGTTTTAATTCTTAGCTCACCTGCGTGGGGCCTAATTTCTCTTCTGACCGCTTATTTATCTCAGAATATGGGATGAGCAGGAAAGCCAGAGGTTTCCCCACACGTAAGCCTTGCGCATCTCTCCTCCAGGGCCGGTGCCCCACGCCGTGCGTGTTTATGAAAGCAGGGATGCCTCCATCCCTCCCTCCCTCCCTTCCTAACCCCACCTCCCCAGCACGGCTGGAGGCGAAGCGGGGCCGGGGCCTGCGGGGCCGGGCCGCCCTCCCTTTGCGCAGGGGCGGGCGGCAGCCCCCGTCCGCTGCCGGGCACCGGCCCCAGCCCGCCGAGCAGCGGCCCCGCCGCCGCCGGTGCGGCTTTTTGGCATCCCTAATCGCGGCTGGCCCCTGTGATTGGCTGCGCGGCTCTGACCCCGCTCGGGCTCCCGGCTGGGCGGATAAAAGGGGCCTGAGCCGGGGGCTCCCAGGCATTCCCGGAGCGGGCACCAGGGACCGCTGGCCGCAGCATGACGGGCAAAGCGGGCGCGGCGCTGGCCCCCAGCCTGCCCGGCAAGCCCAAGCCCGACGGCGCGGCCGCCGCCCCCGCCGCCCCGCCGCTGCCTCCGCCGCCCCCCGCGGCTGGGGTCAAGTCCAACTCCGGGCCCACCCCTCCCCGCTGCACCGGCTTCGGCATCCAGGAGATCCTGGGCTTGAACAAGGAGCCGCCGTCGCACCCTCGGGCCGCCCTGGACTCTCTGCCCGCCGGGCACCTGCTGGCGGCCCGCTCCGTGCTCAGTCCCGCCGGGGTGGGCGGCGTGGGCATGGGGCTGCTGGGCGCCAGTGGCATCCCCGGCTTTTACACCCAGCCCACCTTCCTAGAGGTGCTCTCCGACCCCCAGAGCGTCCACCTGCAGCCGCTGGCCCGGGCCCCCGGGCAGCTGGACAGCAGCCAGACGGCCAGCTCAGGTAGGCACGGCCCCGGCCCCCGGGGAGCCGCCGCGCCCCGCCAGCACGGCCGCCCGCACCCCGTGTCCCGGCGGGAGGCCGCTTGCTCGGCGGTGGAAGGGAGATTTCGTTTCGATCCCCAGAATGAGGAGAAGGGCGGGCGGGACCATATTTTCCCCCGTCCGGGGCTGCGGCCGCGGTCTGATGGCGCGGCCCCGGTCGCCCGGCCTAGGGACGCGCAGAGCTCCGTCGGAGCGGCCCCCGCGGCCCCGTGTTGCCGGATGATTGGGGGTCTTTTGGCATCCTTTTCCTAGACGGCAGCAGCCTCCCACAACTCTGCCTACAGGCCCCGTTCGGCGGCCGCTTCGGGTCTCCCCAGAGCGGCCGGCAGCAGCGCCGGACCCGGGCTCCGGGGGCGATTCCCGGCCTCCCTCCGGCAGCGGCGCCCGTCTCGGGCCGTGCCCGTCGTCCCCGCCCGCAGCACGGCCGGCAGAGCAGCACAGGGCCGAGCACGGGGCAGGTGGCGCGGCGCCGCGGGCCGGAGCGGGACCGGAGCGCGCATCGAAATACGGGTCCCCGATCCGTCCCCCGGTTGCTCCTTCGGGGCAAAGGCGGCGGCGTCCTGCCCTCAGCACCCCCGGGCCGCGGCATCCCTGGGGAGCCGGGGGCGGCGGATAGGCAGCAGCTCCTCCCGGGGCTTGTTTTTGCTGCTTGGTAGCTCCGTAAACCTCCGTTTCTCCCTCCCCGCTCCGGTGCTTTTGGGGCGCAGTCCGGGATCCCCGGGCTGGGGCAGGCGGTCGCGGTTGCCCGGCGCGGAGCGGGGGCTGCAGCTTTCCCGTTCTCTTACGGCTTGGTTGAGCTCGCCGGGCTCTGCGTGCTGGCAGCGAGGCAGCAGCAGCCTCAGCAAACGACTCTGGCGGAGAGAGGCGAGAGCGAGAGCCCGGTCCCGGCCCGGAGCCTTCCCTGGCTGGGGCGAACCGCCCCGAGCCGTCCGCAGCAGAGCGGGAGCGGCGCCGGTGCCGCGCTGGAGGAGCAGCGGGCGTCGGGCCCCGTCCGCGGCGCGATCGCAACGAAATCTTCGGCCGGAGCCGGCGGGCCTGGCCCTGCCCGGGGGACTCCGGCGGGGAGCGAGCCCCGGCCCACAGCCGCTGCCTGTCTTTCTGCAGATTCCGAGGATGTCTCCTCCAGCGACCGAAAAATGTCCAAATCCTCCCTAAATCAGAGCAAGAAACGAAAGAAGAGGCGGCACAGGTAAGACAGCGGCGGCCACCCCGCCCGCTCCCGTCGCCTCAGTCCCCGGGGAAGCGGCCAGCGGCGAGCCCGGCCCGCTCCGGCCTGGGGCAAAACATTCATCCCGGCCCCGGAGCGCCCCGGCGCTCCTGCGGCTTCTCCAGCCGGTTCTTCCCTTCATTCTTTCCCCCCGTCCAAAATAAATCGGATACGGGGACGTGCCTACAGGAAGTGAGGAATTCGACCTCAGGTGTAATTTTATTTAATTTTTTTCTGGCTGCGGATCCAGATATCCCGGGTCGCAATCCTGTGCAGCCCAGGAGCTGCGGTGGAATGCGGAGCATCAGTGTTTGGAAGGGAAAATCATGAACCTGTCAGAAATAATAAAAGCCGTTTTCAGCTCCACATGCAGCAATCTTAATACTGGCTGTCAGCAAGATAGAATTCCTATCAATAATTTAAATATTTTATTACGGAAAAATAAATATTTTGCCAATAGATTAAATAGTTGGGAATCAGAGACAGCCTGCAAAAAGCTGAAGAAGGCTGGGAAACTGTTTAAGGAAACGAAGACCCACTTTGGGATTTGGTTTCCTATAAGCACGGTCAGGGTAGCAGACTTTGCCTGACTTCTCCCACAGGTAAAATGGAGTTGGTTTGTTTGCGCTTTATAAACAGAAACGAAAAATCCCGAGCTGGGTTCTGGCATTGCTGCGGCCAGAGCGCCAGGACAAAGGAAGGCCAAACACCATCCACTGAGGGTGATTTAGGAATAATTAAATCAATCCTGCCACGATGCAGGAAAGGTGGATTAAAAGACGCTCCAGTGAAAGCTTAGCAGGATGCGGGGTGGAAGGAGACCGACTATCCCGGGAGACATCCTGCTGTGTGTGCAACAGGAGGCTCGGTCTGCAGGGCTGCTTTCCAAAGCCGGACCCCTCCCCAGGCAAATGTTCCCACTTTGGGTGCTCTGGAGTAAGAACGAGCTCATTTTCTCTGCACCCCGGACGGGGCTGGGCGATAACACAGCTGGGACTGGTATATAGGTCCCGGTCTGGATGAGAGATAGGAAACGAAATTCAGATTTGTTTTATTTTCAGTTCTAGACAGAAACAGACCCGCAACATTTGTCTGTAGTTGAACATTTCGTTGTAAACAGTTAAGACCTCTAATTGTACCGAGGAAGGGCTGGAAGATGACTGGCCGATAGCCTGCAAATAGCTGCAGGATAGAAACACCGAATGGGCAGCGGGTTGGGAATTGCAGAAGGGACGGGGACTACCCGGGCATGAGCAAAAAAGGGAAAACTTCAGCGGAATGCCAGCAAAACCCTCCCGCCGGTGAGGCTGGACGGGCTCCCGCGCTCTTGAGGGAGGAAGATGGAGGGGAATGCTTAAAATCTAAACTGGATCAAAATTGGAATAATTTTTCCTGTGGTCGCAGAGAGAGAAATTACATGATTCAGTGTGCCTCTGCTGTCCCTAGAGTTCACAGATTTGTCAGAGTTGAAGAAAAACTGTTTGAAAAGAGAATGGATTTAAAAGTGAATTTAAAGAAGGGTCTGATCGCAGGCAGGTCCCTTGCATTTGCATCCTGCTTTTGTTAGCATTACTATCGATCTGGTGGCATCCTTTTCATTTTGTATAGCGGAGGATATTTCTGATATTTTCTGTTTATGCCCTCTGGAACTGAAAGGCTTTTCTGAAATTTGGATGTATTTTAGAAAATTACTATTTCCTCTTTCTTTCTGGGAGATACATGTTTTTTTCGATTGATGCTAAATTTACACATTTACTTTGCACAAGGGCTGCAATTCGTTGTTTGGTTTAGGATTGTTTTATTTTGGTTTGGTTTTTTGGTTGAGTTTTTTTTTTTTTTTGTTTGACTTGATTTTTTGGTTGAGGATTTTTTTGTTTGATTTGGTTTTTTGGTTGAGTTGTTTTGTTTTGGTTTTGGTTTTTGGTTGGTTGGGGTTTTTTGTTTGTTTGTTGTTTAGGGTTTTGGGGTTTTTTTGCCATTGCAGTATTTTTAGCTTTTATCTAAAATTGTGCTTTTTGTACTGGAGGAGTTGAAGGGTGGGAGTTTTAACCCTCAGGGAGTGGAAGTGGTCCAAGACTTCTCATCCATCTGCTAGGGAAGGGCTTTCATCTGTCTCGGCTTTCCAGCTGCTGATTTTTCAATTTGGTTGTCCCAAACTGAGAACGGCTGCGTGAGGCAGGTTGGGCTGCTGCCTGCCCAGGGCAGCCCAGGAGGATTTCTAAAGGATAATGGGGTAATGCAAACTGGCAGGGAGCAGCTAAGGAGATTTTGGAGTGGAAGCAGCCAGGGGAGAGGCAGAGGAAGGGAGCTGGTCCTGGCTCTCATGGGGAAGGACTGGTGAAAATTGTTGGATTAGGGTGGAGAAAACATTTGGAGAATTTGTCCAAAGACTGAGACTCAAGGGGAAGGATTATTTGCTCTTGGAGGCTGAAGAGGCTAAGGACCAGCAGCTGGGAAAGGGCTCAGCACCTCTCCAGACGGGATGCAGAGGGTGTGATGTGATGTGATGATCCTCACGAGTGTCCGATCAGCTGCCATCGCTGCGGGTGCTGGCTGCTGGGGGGGCACTGTCTCCAGAGGCAAGTCCCTGAAAGGGAGGGTGATTTGTAACTGTTAAAAATGCTGTCTTCTGGCATTTTCTGGTTCTCCTTTCACCCTGGCACTTGACCTTTTGTGCACAGAAACACAGGAGGTGGGGAAAAGCTATGTATTAGCTGGTCACCCAGGTTTCACTGTTTTCAGCGTCCATTTCTCTGACTCTTCATCATCTTTGCTGCTTCTTGTGTTTTGATCAAAGAGTTTTACTCCCCTCAGGACAATCTTCACATCCTATCAACTGGAGGAGCTGGAAAAGGCCTTCAATGAGGCCCACTATCCTGACGTGTATGCTAGAGAGATGCTGGCCATGAAAACAGAGTTGCCAGAAGACAGGATACAGGTAATCACATCTCTTGGACCCCCCTATTGTGCTGCTCTCAGCCATGTTCATTCCCCCATGAAGAAAAGGTAGTGGCATGGGCAGGTTGACATTTTTCTGAATAAACTTCCCCAGGCTGTCCACTCTCCTGCTTTTGATGGCAGGCAGATCAGATATTCTTGGCAGATTTGTATTTGGTGTCTGCATGTCGACATGTGCTGTGCCTGGTGTGTGGTACCAGTGATTTGGGGGTGCAACAGAGGGAATTTAAATCAGAGAAGGACAACAGGCATGCAAAAAAAGATGACAGTGTTTTAAGGTCTTGGTAAAAGCAAGAAGAGAGCCTCCCAGAGACCATGTCTGGGTAGGCATTGCTGAAGGGAAAGGGCTCATCTCTGCTCCTTTGGCCACAGAAGGATGTCCAGGGATGGAGTGGGCAGCTAGTACAGCTGTGGGTAGGATGCAGTGTGGAAATGATGGGTGAGTCACAGCGAGATGTTTGCACCACGTCTGCACTTTGACTGGATTTGCCTCCTCAAGTGACGTTACCCTGGAAGTATCTGGGGATAATTCTTTGTTATTTTTTTTGTTAATCTGTTAAATTTTATTAAACTAACAGCTTTTAACATTAAGGTTTTAGCTGCATGTCAGTCCTGTCATGGTACTGTGAGGAGGTGGAACAAGGGGGTGTGGAATATCACTGCTGTGTGGAGAATCCTCCAGCAGGTAGGAGCAGTCTGAGCTGCAGGGCTGGGCCAGGACCAGCCTTTGGCACGCATGACAGCCAGAAAGCTGGAGAAGACTCAGCAGCTGCTGTTTCCAGTGTGGGAAGCACACTGGACAGAGCTAACTGATGTTCACAAGGGTGGGCTCCAGCAGCCCCTTTTGCCTCGCTTTACCCCATGGCTTGCTCCCACCAGGTTTCTACACGAGGCACAGGGCTGTAATGGCCAAGCCTTGAGCAGGTGGAGCTGTGGTCTGGCTGGAAGTTAACCTGCCCTGGTTCTCCACACAGCGGCAGTGGCTGGCCCCTGTGACTGGTGTGCAGTAGTTTCTACAAGAGACATTGTCCTATGTGCCATGTGGTGTTGGGAGGGTCCTGGGTTCCCTGGTTCCTCCTTCTGTTCATCCCTCATGCATGCCCAGCACCCCCCAAGCTGTGTCTTGAGCTCCTGCTCTTCCTTTGCTGAAGAGACGGCCCAGGAGGCTGCTCCCTTGTGGGTTTGGAATGCAGCTCAGAGGGCACTCAGCAGGATAACACTGATGCTGGAAGCTGCTGAGGTAGGACCCTGTGCAGGGACAGGAAGATCCTCCAAAACAAAGGTGTAGCCTTTCCCCCTCTGTTCTGAGGCCCCCTCACCACCCTTATTCTTGTGGTCAATCAAAAATGACATTTTAATAAAAGCAGCTCATGCTTCTTATCCCATTGCCCTGGCAGGACTCCTGCTGATCTAACAGCTTGTAGATAACCTGTGTGCTAACAGGATTTCCACCAGTATCCAGAAATAATGGCCCACCATCTCAAATCCTACCTGATGCATTAGGATTTTGCTCTGAGAAACAAGCCCTGATGCTTTGCCTGTAGAAGGAGTGAAATGGATGGATGGTCACTTCTCCACTTGAGATCCTGTAGGCCATCAGGCCAAGAGAGGAGAGATTGTTGGGAGTTTATTGTTGCCCACAGCCACAATTTGGTGCTGGGCTGGAAAGAAGATCCTTTGATTTCCCATAAAAGACCTTTCCAAGGAAAAGGTTCCTCTAGTGGCACAGTGTATGTTGAATTCCAGAGGCCCCATTTCTCTGGCCAGAGCTGAGAGATTCACTCTTTGTCAGGTGGAGTGGGATGTTGTGGCAGACAGTGTAGAGCTGACACAGCTTGGAGGGCTTCAGCACCTGGAACACCCTGAGTATTTTAACTGATTTGGAAATTAAATAGCAGGAAAAGCATCTTAGCTGTCCCTGACTGGTCTGCCCTGTCATTCTGCAGCTGGCTAATGAGCAACTGCTTACTCTTCTATATTGCAGCTTTTAAATGTAAGAGTGCTCCTTACTGTGACCCCTCTGCTCTTGAGATCAGGTTAGCCTTGGGAAGCAGAAGCACCCCAAGGTATGGCTGTTCTCAACATCAGGTGTAACTAATGGCACGTGTATTCCAGAAAAAAGTGATTGTGAATAACAGTTTTGCTGGCCATGAAAGAGGAAATAATGAGAAATAACAGAATTTCTGTGGCACCTGTTGAGCACATTGCCAGGGTGAGCATCAGGCTCAGAGAGGAGTCCTGAGCACCACTGTTCTTTCCAACAGATCAGCAATCCACTGTCCCTTACCACGCATTCTATGAACTCTCCTTGTCAATATTTTTTGTGTGTGACAAGCCATAGCAAGGTGATTCCCAACTTTGATCATACTTCTTGATATTTTACCTCATATTCCTTTTCAACTTTGGGCCTTTTTGTTACAAGCCTAATTATTTCCCCTTGGTTATAAAGTTCATGCTCCTTAAATAAATGTAAGATATTTCTTCTCCTGGTCACTTTTGTTTTTCATCATCGCTGAAGTAAGTTGCAAGGATCTTTCCTTAAATTATCCTTCATAAATCACATGCTCATCTCTTAATTATGTGGTTGTTCTTACATCAAGCCATCCTTCAGCCTTCCTGGAGGTAAGGGACCCCATGCCTACAGCTGCAAGCTGGGTGTGCTCACAGCAGCTCAGCTGGATGTGGGGGCCTTTGCAGAAACAGTCTTGGATTAGCACTGGTCTGCTTGCTTCCTTATTTATTTATATTTATCTAATTCAGTTGCTTCAAACTTCTTTAAGACAGATTTTATTTTATGCTCAGGATTTTTCCCTCAGTGTTCTGGGTTTGATATGGAACTTTAACTTTGACCAGCATAAAAGCAGCCCTACCAGCTGTGACAGTGGTGAGAGGTGGGTGCCACACAGGGCAGCTCTCCAGTGATACTGAGCACTTTGTCAGTCTCCTGGCATCTTGAATGCATGTAAATTTCTTAATATCCCATGGCAAGAAGTTGTGCAGCAGAACTGCCTGAGTGCAGTAGATCTTGCTTTGAATCTCTTAGCATCATTTAATGCTCCTTGGAAGAGACAGCTTACAATGAATCTTTACTCCCATCTTCATAATATTTATAATTTCACATCATCACATTTTTTTCCTTGCATGAGTTTCCAGCTGCCTGAGGGAGCTCTATAGTTTTGCATTTTCATTGCAGCTTGTGGTTCCTCTCATCTTTCAGCAATGCTCTCTCCCTCCTGTAGGTCATTAATGAAAGTGTTTTCTAATATTGTTGTGAGCATCATATGTTGTGGACTTCTACAGCATTTCATGTGGTTTCCCACTGGATCCTCACCTAAGACTGATGTCTACCCCTTATTTTCATTCATGGAATCATTTCTCAGGAGGTATTAGTCAAAGAGAAAGTAAATCACCTACAAAATTTGATGTGAAAGTGAAATTCAAAGAGGGCAATTGAAAGAATGATATATAGGAACTGTTTGCAGATAAAGCCTTCAGCAGAACACTACAAATAGCCATCAGAGGCCAAGAAAGTTACTGGTTTAAAAGAACATTGAATACAGGAAAAAAATATTCAAACCCTCCATTTAAAGAGGATACGAAAGTGTATTTTTTCCCCAAGGCAGACGCACACTGTCTGTGTTTCACTCCCACACTGAGCTGGCTGCTCCTGGAAGGAAAATGAGCATCCTCCCATTGGGCAGCATGGGAAAATAATTTTTTATAATAGTGAGATACTATGTACAAGTCACATCAGATGTCACTGTGGCCATTTTGCAAGACAGACCACATTAATCAATGCATTTGAAAGAATATTCATATGAATTGAAGTGCCAGTATGGGAATAAACCCAGGCTGTTCTGTAAAATCCAAGAGAGGTAAGTAGATTCCTGTGGGGAAGTGTATCCTTAATAAACATTATGAAGTATTAAAAATGTCCTGAGGCTGACAAATGCTGTGACATCTGACTTAAATTGCTTTTTCTCATAACAAATCTCTTAACTGTAACATGTAGATTTTAGATAAGTTATCCCTACTGAATTTATTCATACATAACAGTTCCAAACTTTAAACTGAGTAGTTACAATATGAAAGTTCAGTAGCAGTTTGATTTGGGGATTATTGAAATTATTTTGTATGTTTGTCCTTAAAGTATGTCTCCTATTAATCAAACAAATTGATTAATCAGTACTTCAAAAAAATAAGATCCTGACTGCTATTGTAGGGACATTAGAGTCACCTTTTAAGAGAAGTAATCAATTAAGAAAAGGTAATAAAACTGCTAAAAAATGTCAGTTCTTGTTGTTAAAAGGGGCATGGTAATTATTGGATGACAATTTTTGGGACAAATGAAATTGCTCACATAAGCAAAAGGAATCCCAAGAAGAGGCTGGTGCTGCCTGAGGAGTGGGGATTGTCTGTGCATCCAGCAAGGTTTGTCAGGCAGCTAAGAGGCCAATTTTGGCTAAAAACAAAACAAGGTCAATTAAATCTCTAATTGAAAAAGTATTGGTTTAGCTACCAGATTAACACATTTCAGTATCACTTTAGGAGCTGAACAGGGATGGAGGAATCAGGAGGAGTAATCATTTAGAGGGAAGCAAGTACCAAGAGTATTTTGCAAGGACAGAGGCTTACCTTCCTTCAGTTTTGCAAAAAGGTTCCCTGCTTAGAGATAATTTGACGAGGCCTGAGGAGCCTGTACTGCACTGAGTGTGAGCTCAGGAGCGAACCCACGGAGCCCCCTCAAGAAACATGACGGGAAGCATGAAGGAAAAATTACTTTTATGCAGCTTTAGCAGCCCTGGCTTCTCCCCCTCCTGCCAGATTTTCCTGCTGGTTGCAGAGTGCTGAGGTGTAGTCTGAGTCCCAGGGTGTAAGGATGGAATGCTGTGATTGCTCCATGCAGCTGGTGACCTTTGCTGAGTGTGTGCCTGGAATGGCAGCCAAAGCATTACTCAGTGCTGCAGAGAGTGGGGATTC